CTACGTACGTACGTACGTACGTACGTACTACGTACTACGTACTACTACTACTACACACTACTACACACACACACACACACACACACACACACACACACACACACACACACACACACACACACACACACACACACACACACACACACACACACACACACACACACACAAACAACGGGTGACACATTGGTGTTGTCAGCTCAGCAGGGTGTAGGCTGGCCCAGAGAAATACCACAGAGATACCAGGCAGAGCGAGGGACGCCTCAGTGATGGAGTCTGTGCAACTGACCTTTCCTCTGCAGGATAGTAGCGTGCATTTTTGTTTCACTGCACCTGTTTTCAATAATTAATATAGCATGTACTGTAGAATAATTTCATTTTTCACACAATTCTGCAGTACTAGTATTTGTTTTCTAATTCACAATCCTGCACACCACATCATTCAGCAACTTGTTTAATCCCCATTATAGATTTCCTCTTCTTGCCCTTATCTTGCACACACACACATTCACAGCTCTATTTTTTTTAAATGTTATTAGAAGTTATATAAAGGCTAATTTAGCTATTAAACTGAGACACACATGAGATGGAGGATGTCAAATAAGACAGCCATTCCATGCTGTAGAAACACTTCATCACAAATAAAGGTTTTGCATTCCAAACCTTAATTAAAGTAAAGTAATTGAAATATTAAAAGATTAAAGATTAAAAGTAGATGTGCATTCAAATTAAAGTTTCATTTGAATGTTGAAGCTGGTAAAGGTGGCACTAATTTCAGCTCCACAATGCAATACATGGGTTGCTTAAACATGCATGTAAACAACTAATATGAGAAGGTTTAGGGATCATATTTGGATGATGTTGTTGTTGTTGTTGTTTATCTTTCTAGTGTTTGTCATTTGATCCTCTTGTATTGCTATAGTTTTTTAAGTACTGTTTCTTCTACATTCTGTTGTTTAAAAAAGCAAACTCATTAAGCCTATTTTTCTTTCTTGCAGTATCTGATATACTTTTTACCCCTTCGCTTTAGTTTTCTTAATCGAATAAAAACATTACATAATGTATAGGAAGTTGAACAGTTCGAACGTTCATGTGAAATCTCTAATATAAAAATGGATTGCAAATCAACCTTGCTCAAGGTGAGCAGTTCACATGTCACACACACAGCGCTGGCTGGCTGTATCCCTGCTGGGTCTCTTACTGGGGAGGTTGGCACTCACATGACTTAGAAGGACGTTTAGATGACATTTTGTTAGTTAAACTTGTTCATACTAATTCCTGCTAAAGATTTGTAGTAATTGAACGATTGAAGTGCATGAGACAATAACTGTATATGATGTTGTAATGAATGTAAATGTAATAGCTGTAGTGCACATGCAGTAGTGGCATTATGAAGAGTTTGTGCCAACTGTCAGTAGGAGAAAGCGACGACATGCCAGTGGAAAATATGCTTTACCCACAAACCTACTCTCTTCCTCAACATGGCAATGAGGTCTTAATTGTGGCAACATGCCAAGTGAGGGCAGATGGTTGTCATAATAATAATGAACATTAACCCTGTCATATCAGATGTTTGTCATTAATTCCCATGATTTAGACATCTTGTGCCTCACTGCAGTAAATAAAGAGCCAATTATATTTGATTCAATATAATTATAATGCAAACTTTATTTTCATATTCATGACAATTGAAAGCCAACCCCACATTCATTCTCATTTTGGAACGAGCTTTGTCCACTTTGCCTTTCATTTGGCTACATTTNGCGGGGGCGCAGGTTAGGGGCCGGCGGAGCCGGAGGGGCGCGCTGATCAGGGGCCCAATCCCTGACCGAAGTCATCTTCACGACCTCGAGTGAGGGTCCGTCGGCAAGGCTCCAATTCTGCCGGCTCTTGCCCGCGCCTGTCAGGAGGAGCCAAGAGGTGGCGAGGGTCAAAATAAAACACAACAGATATCTAATCACGAGAACGACGCAGACCCCGACCGATTACCGATTACTACCGTCTACGCCCTCCTAATTAATTATTACCGCCGAAGTGTCTTGCAAAAACCCCTCACACTGCCCCGCCACTAGGCGGGTCCGGTGCGGGGGGGGGGGGGCGGGGGGGGGGGGGGGGGGCGGCGGCGCCCGATAGCGTTGTGTCCTCCTTTACAAAGAGGGTGCTTCTCAGGCCGACGAGAGGATCGTCCTGACTTTTCCCCAGTCTTTTTCCAAGGAGATCTTGATTAATCATCGACCTGACAAAACCACCCACTTCCGCCGCTTGATTCCTACGCACTCCCGCCTCCTCGGAACCCTTTTCTGAAGCACACATTCTGCCGCGGGTCACTCACTCCACACCTGAGTCCCTTCCAAAATGCAAACATTCAATTCAAAAAATTTCCCCACTAAAACAACGCCACCCCGAGTATCTTGGACCACACAACTTTCTATCTCACTCCCCTCTCTTCACTGTCCTACTCACTCCGCTCATCTACCGAAAACCTCTCGTGGGTTACAAAAGTAAATATTAAAAGCCGACATAAGATTTTTATTTGTGGTACATATTGTTTGGAAGAACACCGACAAAAACCACACAGGATTCAATTTGGTCCCAAACGCACAGGTACTAGCTCCTCACTTTGTTTCTCTTTTGCTATAAGGGATTATATGTTATTTTCCTCGTCCTCATGACGAGAACCCGAAAGTCCGAACGATAGTTCTGCGTATCTCCTGTCTTTCGCCTCGCTCAGCCCCCCAGAGTTTACTCGGTTCCACATCGTAAATCTCCTCCGTGAAGTTGTTTGCTGCCTGCCAGTAAACCCAAAGCAGAAGAAGTGACGTCAGCGGCTTCATTTGCCTAATCCACCCCCAGGAACTCATTTCCGGTGTGAACGCGATTTGTACTTAGTTCATGAGAACTAAAGAGTTCTCAGGAACCTTTGTGGGAAAAGTACTTGGTGTGAACGCGCCTATTGGTATTAGCTTTATAAATTTGCTACATATTAATGTACCACATTATAAATTGATGATCAAAAGTCTCTTTATCTTTAATGGAACACTCACCTCTAATTTGGCTTCGCTAATCTTCACTGGTTTCCCCTCTTCCACCAGTAGGATGTTGTGATGCAGCACAATGGGTGGCCTTTGATGACTTTCTAGGTACACTTTCACATTGATCCTCACTGCGAGTTCAAGACCTTTTGCCTTCACTGTTAAGTTGAAATACTCTGCAACATGTTTGCTGTCATTGTGCCGATAGGACATTATCCCATTCTTGAAGTCAGACAGTGAGAATAACTCCACTTCTGTTTCATTGCGATAAAGTCCTCCATACTTGGGGGCCTCATCCAACTTGAAGACGACCTCCTGGTCATCTCTGATATCCAAATTTGAAACAATACTAAAATTACTGGTGGAAAAGGTTACCGACTGGCCCTTCTGAACCATTAGGCCAGTATTGTTGCCAACTTTCAAGAAAGCGTCCTGTGCACTGAGGTCTAAAAGACTCGATACAAAGTGTTTTCCATCGGAGACAAAGAGCACAAATCTGCCCATGTTTACACCTTTGTGAATAAACAACACTCGTTTGTCTTCCAAATCCTTCTGTCGGAACTGGAACAGCCGGTGAGAGGTTTCATTAACAAGCACTAGATCTCCCATCGGGATTCCACGTCGAGTGTAAATCAATTGGCCATCATCAAAGTCAGAGTCTGCATCATGATAACGCAAATCATCTATAGTGAGTAACTTCTGTCCATTCTTTACTACTAGGAAAACTTTATCAATAACACGTACCGGCTTTTGGTCATTAACTAGCTGAATTGATATGTTAAACAATCCTTCTTTGGAACCAAATTCATCTTCTGTGATTGACGATTTAAATTCTTGGCTGGTGGAGGCTATAAAAGTGAAATCATCTTGAGTTGATTCACTGTCATCATGGATGTACATTATCCGTTCCTCCAATATATCCTGATTACTGAAGGTTAAGATGTTGTCGTAGCTAGCATTGGAATTTGATCGAGTAATACGGGATAGCTTCCCATGTTTTGGGCTGCTTATTACTGTGTAGAACATATCCTTTGTACTCAAAGTCTCTGCAAACAGAGCATCTTTTCTAATAAGTTTGCTTTCTCCCTCGATAAGTGAGAGTCCATCATTTCTCATAAACACGCTGTTGACATCAGCTTTAATAGTAAACCGAAAGTCATAGTTTTGTGACTCAACATGTTTGGAAACCAGCTGAAACTTGAACCTGTCACTTGTGTCTTCATAAGGCCTGTCAACCAGCTCGTAATGTACTTTTTGATCAGTTACATCTCCTTGGCTAAAGGTTGAGTTCTTGGTCAAGATAGTGGTGTCGAGCAGGAGCTTCCCTTTCTTCGGTGTGGTGAGAATCCGAAAATAGAGGTCATCCTCTGAGAGTACCACACCTTCCGCAGTGGCAAAAAGATTGTCTGAGTCCAGTGTCACTTTTCTAACTTTATCCATATCCATTATAACATTCCTCACCAGGTGGTACTTCACCCACTTCACCGTGATTGGAAAAAGTATTTCAGTGGTTGCCCTTGCAGCAACATGAACTTTGTTCTTAAAGTAATCGGTCACGTTGGACGTCTGGACTTCTTGAAAAGTGCTAACATACCTTAGTCGCCCTTTTTCAAGAAGTCTTTGAGAAAATGAGTCAGTATGCCTCCATTCACCGCTTGAGTGAAGCCTCTGGAGTTCTCCATACTGAGGGGGTTCAATTATATCATATCGGATGTCAACTATTTGTTTTATAGCATTTGTTTGCACAGCCAGCTGTTTTAAACCAAGTATAGCTGACTCTCCTTGAATGATTTCAAGGCCTGTGTTGTTGGCAATCTTATACTCCAGTGCTACAGCCATGACCCTTAAAACCACAGTATTGCTAACTTTTTCCCCATCGCTAACTCTAAGGACTATTCTTGAGTTTCGAACTCCTGTGTGAACAAAGAACACCTTCTCTGCCTCCAAGTCTAGATATGAGAATGAGGGCACTGACTTGCCTGGGTTGTTTTCAATCTCCAAATATCCTGCATCAACATTCAGGTTTCCAAGCACAGAAAAGACAAGGTTGGTGTAGTTGCTGTCAATGTCTGTGGCCCTCAGAACATCAGTGGTGAGGCGTTTCTTTGAGTTCTCCAACAGCACAAAGAGATTACCTTCAGGGAGACTCAATTCAGGTGCATCGTTGGTAGGTGTCATAGTAATATTGTAACGGTACAATTGGTTGCCCTTCAGATAATCAGGAACTTGCTTTCTACTACTTGAATAAATTGAAAACATGAAGAAATCACCTGGTTCCTCGGAGCCTCCATGGATATACATCACTCTTCCATGCCAAAGGTCCAACATACTAAAGGTGTTCTTCTCTTGGTCCTGGTCGACATCAAGCCTTATCTGACCCCGAATTGGTTGCTCCCGAATTTGGAACACAATCTGAGACTGTCGAATGCCAAGCTTCTTGAAGTCTAAGAGCACCTTGATGTGTTTGGCCTCGAGGGATGCTCGACCACCTTCAGGGACCACAAGGTTTTTGAACTGCACAAAGTTTGAGCCATACTTTCTGTCCAAGCCCTTTGCAAGGGTGGAAGTTTGAAGCGATGGTCTTGGGGTTACCAAGTGAAAAAGAGATCCTGCAGCACTTGTTGGACTCACAGTGGTTGATGGTTCATGTTCTGTCTCTGGCTCACAACCAACTGAGATATCCTTGGTGACTACAGCATTGGAAAGACCTGTTTTCACTCTGTTGACTTCAATGTTCTTCAGACATCCTTTAAAGGAACCTCCTCTGACACGCTTACCAGACACAGAGACAAGCCCCACCTTTCTGGCCTCTGATCTGGTGCCGTCATCAATACCTCCAACGAAAAGAGAACCTTTAAACTGAAGCCTCTTTGACTGGGAGCTAATGCTGCTTTTCACCATCTCTCCATCAACAGTAAGCTCGAGGCTTTCGGATCTGAAATGCAACTTCAAAGTATGCCATTTCCTGTCATAAATTGATGTAAGTGATCGAAGCTCGGTTTTGGTTCCACCTTTCCCAACAATGGCCACTGGCAAACCTTCCTGAATCTCCACAGCCAGGAAGTCTCCCTCTCTGGCTGAACTGTACAGGATAATTCCCTCTTTGGCTGAAGTGTGCACGACACACTCAAAAACTGCTTCCTGCTGGGTGTTCCAGGTTGGAAGAGAGATGTAAGCCCTGGAGCTGAAGAAACTGATAGGGTCCTCCTCTGTGGCAAAGAATTGGGGACTACAGCCTAAAGAAACCTCATGGACATTCTTGAATCCGGTATATGGCCTCAGTGATGACAACAAGTCATGTTTATTGAAGACCACCTCGTCCATGCAGCCTCGGAAGCCAATCTGGTCTCTGGGTAGGTACATTTTGTCCAGGCCTCCTGAGCCTCCGACAAACAGCCCATCCGAAATGTCGAGATTATGATTGGAGGCTGGAATCTTAAAACCAGTTTGAGAGTTCTTGTCCACAGTCAGGGTTACGTTGTTCTGCACATGGCGAACCTCCACGGAGTGCCAGGCCAGGTCGTTGAGCTGGGTGCCTTTCTCTGACTCTAACTGTAGCTCCCCTGATCCGAGGTCAAGCTTCAACTAAGAGAAGAACAAAAAAAAAAGGATTTTTAATTAATTACATCGTGTCAAAAGGTAAATTCACATACTAATCTAAAGAATAATCCATTTATCATTTTAGAATACCCATTCATTGCTATAATCCTTGCAACATGCATTTACGAATGGCATTGTTGACTAGTTGGTCCACATCGATTTAATCATTATTAGATTAATTGCTTTGGTTACCCCTTAACTTTTCTTCAAAGGTCCTCTTGATGTTAACAATTAAGGTTTTGAGCAAAATGTCCAGAGAACGTTTGGATGGATTGAAGTTAAACTCGGTCGACATTCAAAACTACTTCAGTTGAATTGCTAATACTTTAATGATGCTTTAAATATTCAGCATTATTATGATGACATACATTTCAACATCACTGTAATTTACAGTTTGCTACTGTGAAGTATGATTATAAAAATACATGTATGTTAAAAATAATATTGATATCATTAGATATAACCTATGACTTATAATAATTAAATATGAACTGTAGACACTGTGACACCTGGAAAAGGAGACACCGGTTGTTATTTCAGTGAGCGTTGTCTGTGATTTAAAACAGGAAGAGAGCTATTATTTATTTTCCTTCAGCTATGTCCGCTGAGCATCATGTCACCATCTCCAACTAATGCTGCATTGAGATGACATGCTTGTCAAGACATGCTGGCTGTTGGATCCTGCTATTCAGGCAAGGGTTTTCCAGGGAGAGGCGCTCAAGTCTGATTCACATGGAATGAGACCCCAAGCCTGAGGATAACTTGTGCGATTGAACGTAAAATGATTTGGTGACCTGTGCTAGTTTAAGGAACAGAGAAGAGCAGTTCACTCCTCGTGCTCACTGAAGTACAACACTGCAACACAGTTGTCAGTGTGATTTATTGCCGGTAGCAAAACTCTAACAGAAATAGATGTTCTCAAGTTTGATGCACAAAGCTAGAATTCATATCTCAGGAAAGACTGAGTTTCCCATGTATGTGTTTGCATATTAAAAAGGTTTTCTTCAGTATGTTTATCTATTCTTTATGTTGATTTGCAGAGCAGCTTACTGGATGCTTTAGAAACAGTCTCCAGGTGACAAATGTATTTCACTGATAAATCCCCCAAACAGGGTTTGTCTTGTAGGCTAAAAATAGTTCACCCGACTTGGCAAACGTGTATTAAATGTCATGTTTATTTATTTGGATAAAGCGCAAGATTCAATTTTTTTTGTAATACTGACACACAGTTTCGCTTGAATTTAACAAGCTTATTAATCTATGAAATAATTGCCTTGAGAAATAGTGAGAAACATATAATACAATTAAATAATAATACAATTATTATCATTTCAGTGGCATCTCTTTTGAGTGAATAAAAAGCACTAAGCAGACTAATTTATGTCTGTACATAAGAACAGTATTTGAGCAGGTGACAATGTTAATAACAAAAGGACTGGACCAAAAAAACACACCTCTTCAGACTGGCTTTTAATGTGTGAATTATGTTGTGCTTCTGTTTTAATATTTTTTTATTTTATTCCCTTTTTATCACCACTGTCTTTGAGCACCTGAAAAAGCGCTTAGAAATGGAATGCATTATTATTATTATTATATTATTATTATTAAGTAAAGAATGGCCTCTTTACACTAATATTGTTTATAATGTTGTATAAAGAGCAATAGAAATAAAACCAGACAAAACATGACATTTAAATGTGTCTCTTTGGGCTTTATGACATTTTTCCAAAAATTGTTGACATTTCATGGACTAATTCATTCATAAAAATGTATCATTGTCAAAATAATAATTAGTTGCAGGCAGCCATATATAACATTGTGTTAGTTATTTATAGCACCAGAAAGCAACCATGTGCATAAATACAGAAGTAAATTATTCAATTGTTGGGAGGCAAATGTGTGTTGCACTGGGATCAAGTCATAAATCATATGGCTGACATAAAAAGTACAATAGCATAATGATCACACACAGATGTGCTGCTTTCATAATCTCCTAGTTTTCACTGTGACAAGTGACTGGTATGGAGCTAACATTCAGCTCGCACTATGCAGGCTTGTCTTCTTGTGTTACTTTGTGGAGTGACTGACACTGTCAACTGTGACGGAGCCATAGCTTACGGTCTTCAGTGTGTGTCTTTCTCGACGCGTGCATGTGGTCAAGCACAGATGTCAGTGTGTATTGTATTCCTTTACATATATGCGTGTGTGCATGTGGGTGCTCATGTATGCATGAACACATATGCTCATGTGCTCAGGCCATGGATGTACCCACCTGCAGGCGACCAGCATGGAGCTCTAGTAGAAAGTAGTCGTTCTGGCCGGCGGCGAGAAACAGCAGGCCGTTGGTACTGGAGGTTCGAAAGCGAATGCGAAGCGTGTTATGGTCGGACGACTCTGTTGCCTTGAGCTGTACAAAGCCGTCACCGTAGAAGGAAGCTGTAGAAAGAGACATCAGAGAGGGGTATAGAGGGGTATTTCAAAAACAAACAGAGACAAGAGGGAGAACATATGTATCCAAATGTGGTGTTCACTCTCTTTTGCAGCCTGTTAAATCAAGGCTATACACTCCGAGTAAGAAAGAGAACTGCATCAGTGAGTACAGTAGCAAGCTGAGGAAGTCAAGCATAGTGGTCCTAATAAAGGCAACATGTGACATTTAGATGTAAAAGTCAGCTAATTATCATTCTGGTTGTTCTTTAACACTGGAGCAGAGCCTGTTTACATGGAAAACACACACAACACAGGGCTTCATAACGCACACTCACACGCACAAATTATACCTCACCAGATTTAAAAGGATGCTTGTTAGATCCTCTGCTGAGCTGAGCCTTCCTGGTGGGCCTGCTTTGTTTATACCATGATGACTTACATGCATTCAAGTCCAACAAATGTGCAATTATGAAGCACTTACATGTAGAATAATCACCACCTTAAGGATGGAACAAAACTCCAGCCTGTGCATTGAGAGAAAATTGCAGGTTTCTGTCTGAAAGTTTGTATTTTTTAGAGAAAGTCCACAAAGTGTCCGAAAACGTAGGAATCACATAACTGAATTTTAAGAGTATTATTTTGACTTTAACGCCACAACAGGAGAAAACAAACTGAGGCAAAGGATGTGGAGGTGAGCTTGGAGGGAGTCGGACATGTTTGGGCCTGCCCTGCCCTGACAGGAACCTTCAACCTGAACATGAAAGGCTCTGACGTTTCCACATTGTCCGTGGCCTCATGTTCCAGAAACAACGTGGCGGACGGTCCCAGCTGTTTCTTCTACCTCACCTCCCAGCCATCTCACATCACCCTGTAATCTGGCCTAACACACTCTGAAGCTTTCTCATCCAAGCCTTCATGCCCAGGCACCACCAGTTCAGTTTTTTAATGAGCTCCAGAGCTCCCACGCATATTCAAAAGGCTAACAAACATCTTCGCCCGTGTGAACAAACATGTCTATTGCACGTTTGATTGGTCTGTGAATCATGACCCAGGGCAGGACTGTAGTGCTGCTAATGTGCCAGAGTGACTCACACCAAAGGCTATATAGAGTTAATGTGAGTTAATGCATTGTCGTTATTCCTGAAAAGAGTCAATGCACTAATGGGTTCTTTGCAAATCCAATCCGTATTATTAACTGTGCAGTACAAATTAACTCAATTAAAGCAGTTAAGCATGAACATTTGCCCTTTAGCCACATTGATACACAGTCAGCCATCAACAGGGGCTGGTTGCAGAGGGATGAAAAACAAAATCAAAGTAACATGTTACTTCAAATACTTTTACTATCAAATATTTTTAATTAACAGCAAAGAAAAATACACCTAATAAGCAAAGAAAAGAGAATAAATGCTTAAGCCCAACATACATGTTACACTTCATCCCCTGGGTTTTCTCTTAGTAATTGCCTGAATTCAATTCAGTCTTTGTGCATCACCCATATTTACAAAATATATTTCTGTTTTGGTGTATTTAAGATACCTTTCTTACCCATCTTTGTAATCTGCTTTTCTTTTCTAGACAGAAAAACAGTCAGTTTTAACATTGAAGAGACAATTCCATATCTTATCTGGGCAAATTAAGATTATTTATAACATCATTTTACATGCAAATATCAAGTTTTCTTATTCAACATGTTATTTCATCTCTTCAAGTCTATCTTTTCTCTGAATAGATTTAGCTTGACTTGGTTGGTTAATTAATTATCAAAAATAGAAATGTTCTATTAATTGACTAATACATTAATCAACTGGCAGTTGTCAGGCCTTTAACCCTTTAACGTTATTATAAAAAAACTAAAAACATGTGCCTGTATTTTCATCAAAAGTCAATCATGTATTTAACCCATTTAAATATATTTGTAGTCAGACAGCTTTCTTCCATTTTAAGAAGCTAGCCTCTTTTCCAGTGAAATTCACAAAAAAATAACACGTTTAGTACCAATTCAAATATAGAGTATGTAAGACCTCGGCAGAGAAATCAAATAAAGGCCACACAAGCTTGAAAATGTTTCCTCTAAAGATCTTAAGACCAATGTATTTGCATCAATAGATATTTATTTATAGATACAAAAATAGCAGTTTTCCGTGATTTTTGTTTAATTTTAATAAACAGCCCTTAACTGACCAGTCTAATGTATTGTGCCTTTAGCAACTGTTAAATACAGCTGGAAATAAACAAATTGATTTTCCAAAGGCACACAGCATCACTCTTCACTCTGACCCCAAGTCAGACGCACGGAATTTGTTGTCATTTCTCCTTTAAACGTCATGTTCATTCGTCTGACTGGATCTTTGTACTTAACAGGGAGGAAGCATTTTCGAAAAACTGCAATGACATTTTTCCCTTAAATTCACAAGGATGGACATGCATGCTCAATTGTATTTTGGTGTCATCTCTGTGATGTTAAAGTCACATGATTGAACGTCATGTTTGGTTAAAACAAAACCCACGGTTTACTGGATTCTTTGAAAGCTGTATACAAATGGAAGACACATTTTAAATGTGGCCTAAATGACATAGTCAAAGGCTATGGATATGTAATATGGATATTACTCGAGAACAATACCCACGCACTCATGAACATAGCTGTGTACACCTGACTGTGGTTGTTCTGTAATCTGCATGTCTGCAGGGGCGGTTTCTGTGGGTCAAGGACATTTTTTGGTGAGATTTCACAAACCTTTTTTTCAACAACAAAGCCAGTGACCTTTTAGTGAACACCCGCTTGCAGTTAATTTGAGGGGGGAGACCAGTGCTTGACACTGCCTGTGTGCTTAGTTTATACAACAGATCAGAGATGCAACTTGACTGAAGTGCCTCTCTGTTTTTTAGTTGACTGTCATCATGCCACTCAGTTGATGATGCATGGTCAAAGCATGTGACGTGGCTGTTTTCAGCAAAGGCTAGTTTCATAATACTAAGGGTATACACATATTCTGAAATCCATTGAAGTAAAACAAATGGCTACACTGTAGTTATTTTTCAATGAAGGATATGGTGAGAATGAGTCACAATGAAATAATTCCTGATCACCCCCAGGGGCCGAGCCTGGATGAACATTGAATTTAGATGACACAAGCATGGAATCACATCAACCAGAGGCTAATGAATACCCTCATAGATGTAAACAATGTACATCTGAAGCTGTGACTCATTTAAAACATATTTTTCCCTTAAGATCTCTCAAAGCAGCTGTCCATTGTTTTATTTATTTATTTAATTGTGCCATTATTGCCACAGTCCTATTGTTCTACAGGCATCACAGTCCCATTTCTGCTGCCTACTATAATAACTCGTTTGGATGAACATTGCAGCCAAACATCAACCACCCATACCCCATTCACAATGTATTCACTTCTGTTGAGGTTAACATTAATAAGGACCTGTGAACCACTACAGCAACTCAAAATCACGTACAGAAAACATTTAACAATCCTGTGTAAGGTGACACTACAGCCTACTTTTAGATGCATGCTCATGATGATACAGAAATAGTGCTGCAGCCTACTCATGAAGGAAATCCCATCCATCCAAACGAAGTAGGAGCTGTTTTTTTCAATTCGTTATGACAATTGAAGATGGTAGTTATCACCTTGAAAATCTTAAGTCGCTTTCAGGGTGAAACAATTTCCTCTGTAAACTACAAACACCTGGAAGAAATTCGTCTTTGGTAACTAATAGCATTTTATGGCGTCAGTATTAACAATTCGGAATCAAAAGAGCCACCATTTTAGTTTATCTTTCATTTGTTTTCATTGAAAAAAAAGTCGAAAAGTTGTTACCTCCCGACGCCAGCTCGAGCAGGAGCGAACACCAAAGCAGACCGCGGAGCCACAACTTCTTCTGGGTGTTTTTCACAACAGAGTCCATCTTTCTTCTCCCGGTGGAAACACGACTGTTACCGGACATGTACGGTTACATATTTACAGGCCTGTTTTTCACTGGATCACGCTTCAGTACCTTTAAACACAATAGTTGTGCGTGTTGAATCTGTGCAGCAGCAGACCCTGCACTGAACTAACTGACACCGACGTAGGTCCTCGCTAAACTCCGCCTCATGTGTGTGTGTGTGTGTGTGTGTGTGTGTGTGTGTGTGTGTGTGTGTGTGTGTGCGTGCGTGCGTGCGTGTGCGTGTGTGTGTGCGTGTGTGTTTGTGTGTGTATGCCTGTGTGCGTGTGTGTGCTTGTTTTCAAAGAAGGCATGTTAATCAGTTTTCAAAATAAAACCCACAAGAAGAAGGGGGAAAATGCTGCAGGCCATTTTAAACAAGCAACAAACACACTGTGCGAATGAAAATGTGTTAATAGACATTTCAAAGTATTTTTAATTAACCTGATTTATGATACTTGTTATTAAATAAATAAATCAAGTAACGCTATAAGGATCTGCAGGTAGGCTAAAAGGCACTTTAAAAAGGGCCCTTCATTATTTTTACTTAAGATGCAAATTCAGGGGGTTTGCTATATTCTAAGTTTATAAATAGATAAATAAGTAAATTACTTTAGGCTTTGTTAAAATGTTTTAATTGGAGCCAATCCACCTCTATATAAAGGTGTTTAAATTGAATATCTGTTTAGTCTACAGGCTTATTTGGGAGTAAAACAATCCTTTGAATGGAATTTAGGCTTAACCCCTAAATTGTGTTTATGGATAATGCTTTTTGTTAACTGTCATCATGTTTCCCCAAATAGTCTGAGCTCCATCATTTGCTATTGACCGGCACCTTTTAAGGTTCTCATACATTTTGGCTGAGTCACTTTACAAGTTGGGAAAATTGAAGTGCTTTTACACTTTCTCATAAAGGAAGAACCAAACATGTCAGTCTGGTTGACTGGTTCCAACTGTTCTCATAAGCTCTGACTGTTTATTTTTGTAACAGACTGATCCTAGTCCAGTTAGTTAGTCTCATTCAAGACGGATAAATTAAACAATCCAGATGGGATTCAAACCCACAACAACCATCAGACTTTAGAGCTGTTTCATTACCAGCTCAGCTTGCAGGACTCAGGTGGACAGTCTCACAAAGAGAAGAATTAGACTTCAACAGTGTGTATCAGGTTCAGCCAGAAGTCTGTAGATGTTGTTCCTTTGTAGATTGATGACGTTTCTGCAGCACCAACCTGAGGTATGTTACTGTGTGTGCAACAAATGTACCGTAGGCCTATGCTGGGTTTTATTTGACTTCTCTAACCAATTTAAACCAAAAAAATCAAACATTGTTGTCTCAAAAGACGGTTGTTGAGGGTTAATATACATTTCAACCTGAAAATGTCCAGCATCGATCAACTAACTCTTATAGAAACATGTTTTTCCTATTTCTAGTAATACATAGCTGCATTGATATAAATCAGGTCAAATTAAATGGAATCTATTGAAAAATCCAAGACTGGAAAACTGAAAAACTGCAGATTCTTTCACAAAGATATTCATATAAAAATATTAAAACACATATTAAAAGCAACATAAATGTTTAAATATATATATAATCATTAACTATATGAACCAGTGAAATTCCCTGGGGCTAGGGGATAAATAAAGTTGATATTAGTCCAAGTCATATTTGTCCGGTATCTAGTATGGAGTTGGTATCAATGGTTCACTTAACATGGAAGCTATTAAGAATGACAATTTTTAACAAAAAAAAACATGATTGTTCAACAAAATATTAATTTAAAATAGTATGGTAACTACAATCCAATAAAAAGTGTGTCCTACTCATTCGATGTACTGTATATACAATGCTGCATTGGTCTGGACTCACTGGGTCCTGTGAAAATTAAGAAACACTTCTGATTTTTTTGTTAAAGATTCCTATAATATAGGAAAAACAATTGTGTTCTACTAGTCCAGTGTAGTAATACAAATTGGTGTTTATTTTAGTCACTGAGTCACATGACCTGGAAGAGGTTTCTTTAAAAAGTGCAGATTTTTTACAAGGATATTCATAAAAAATCGATTAAGTGTTAATATAAATAGTTGTGTCTTTGATGTCAAGCGTTTGATCTATTACATACATTAATGATTTTGCACCCCTAAACAGTTCTTTTTAATATAGGCATCATACACATTAAAATCTCTTAAAAACATTTATGAATGTTGTAATTTCTAATGTATGCTCAGTTCATCCAGCGGCCATAGCCATCCATTTATGTTGTTAACATATCATTTAATGCCAATGTTTAGACTGCATGTATTTAAATGTGTTCATGTTGTGCACTTTCTTTAAATTGCCTGCTCAATATTTTATTGTAAATATATATTTATTTTTTAACCAAATTATTACCATAACCTTTATGTTTATTAGTTATATGCACAACATACTTTAAATATGAAACCTATATTATAAACATTTGATCAAATAAAAAAACTCACACTGTACTTCCATAAATATAGCAATTGTCTAATTTGCAATGTACATACCATCCTGTATTAAACTTTTGCAATCAAGTTTTGTAATTAATAATGACAATAGGCAAAACATCCTTAGTAACTTAATGAGGGTTTAATGGGTCTGAAATCAATAAATAGTTATTCAAGAAAATATATTACATCAAGTTAAAAAAGATTTAATGTAACAGAAAACATGCGAGGTAATGAATAAAATGTTCAAGGTAATGTTGCATTGTCACTCGGAATGAGTTGGCCTCTAAGCAGAGGTATAGACTGTAACTGTACTTAGTGTAATAGTATGTATTATCATGCTTTAATGTGTTTTACATTATACTGTTATTGCTTCATGATTGATTTCATGTCATAATTCACTTTCCTGCAATCTGGTTAATATCTCTTAAAGACAATATCATAAAGATGTTTTCAGAATGCAGGCCACTAAGAATGTAGTTAAAAATCATCCGATGCAACTCCTGGATTTAATAAATTGCAATCTGATCATTGTTATGGAATCACAATCCAGTTTAAATCAAGGCCAAATAGGATTATTTTGAGGTATAAGAGCAGATACTGTAAACAAAGTAAGTGTATGGCACAATCATTAAAATGTTAGTGATGAATGGCTGTTTTTGTAACGATCTGAAGGGTCGTCAGCACGTTCCCAAAAGTTTTCTGAACTCCTGTTTGATGCAGCTGTAGATGGGATGGTAGAAGCGCCTGTCGGACACCATGAGGTCCGTCACGATCTCAGTGTGGTCGATTTTAGGCAGCAGGTAGAGGGACACCTTTATGGACAGCGAGGTGAGGAGATCACAGAACTTTGTGGAAGATTCAACCGGAACGATGATGTCACTGGTCCCGTGGAGCAAAGCAAATGGAGGCACTCTGGCAGTAAGTAAAACAAGAGGAGATTGTGGTTGGGAAATGTTGTATTAAAATGAATAACACATGCAATACATTTAAAGAGCATTTTCATTTTTCAACTCAGTGGACATTTCTAAATGACAGCTAAAGACACGTCTTTTTAGATTAGCTTTTTATTAGCAACCCCCCACTTTAAATGTTCTTTTAGTCTTTATTATGTACCTAGCTTTATATTGTTTTATTTATTTTATAGGTCTTAATCTTTTTATTTGTAATTCTGTTGTACCTATATTTATTTTTATTATCATACATTTCACCTCCTTGTGTTTCTTAACCTGTTCAAATGTAATATTTTGCTGCATGTACCTTTTAAAGTTCTTAACAAATAATCTGAGGGGAATTTCTTGTTGTCGGTTTTTAATTTGTGATGTGTCATTTTGTAAAGCACTATATAAATAAAGCTTTATTATTATTATTATTATTATTATTATTTTTGTCTCACCTGTTTAGCTTGTCCTGGCTCAACATCTTCAGAGTGTGTGTCGGTGAGTAGTACGGGAAGTTCTCCACTCCATTCATGGATTTGTGCATGGTGGAGACATATTCCACTCCTCTCTTCTGCTCGTGCTCGTAATGATCCATGATATTGTACACGCCGCTCAGACCTGTCAGGGTAATACGACAGATTAACTAAAAAGATATACATACATAAAGTTCAGTTAACTTTAGCATAAAATATGGTTTCAACTGATTGATGCACGCGATAAACCTTACAAATCACTCCTCTTATGGCCAGTGTTAGGTCCCTCTGCTTGCTGGCCTCTATGAAAAGCTCCTCTCTTGCATCAATGAGAAACAGTGAGGTCAGTGTGCATAAATGTGCACCCGCTGAATGGCCAATTAATACTATGTTGTCCTATGAAAGAGAGAAAAACAAGACAATCATGGCATATTATTTACCGTGAAGACCGTGTGAATGTGCACTCTTCCAAAAAACATTGTCATCTTAATTATGTTTCTTTTAATGCCATACATATTTTTATTAAATTAGAAACAAATAAGAAGTTTTGGATCTTTGCTACTAAAACTGAAGAGTTTATTATGATACAAGTTTAAACTCATTCAATTGCTAGCGGTCTCTCATTAGGCGCATTCACACCAAGTACTTTTCCCACAAAGGTTCCTGAGAACTCTTTAGTTCTCATGAACTAAGTACAGATCGCGTTCACACCGGAAATGAGTTCCTGGGGTTGGATTAGGCAAATGAAGCCGCTGACGTCACTTCTTTTTCTTCTGCTTTGGGTTTACTGGCAGGCCGCAAACAACTTCACGACGGCGTATACTGCCGCCCAAAATCCCCGGCCGGAAGTCCCCGAAGTTTGGGACTGGCTTCAGTAGAAGCTGCTGGGACTCCCAGCAGCTTCTACTGAAGCCTTCCGAGTAAACGGCCAGAACGCCGACACCTGCTCATCTCCACCGCTCCCATGTTTTATTTTGTGTTGCTATAAGTTAGTCTCTCTGCGTTTCTGCGCTGGGCTAATGCTAATGCTAATAATGCAATGCGAGGATAATAAAATGGCGGCTTCACAAACGTTTTCGGGAGTTTGATGGGGCGTGGTTTGCATTCCGCCCAGCCAATCAGACACAGGAACCTTTTTCTCCCACGAAAGTCCCTGCTCTCTAGCAGGGACTGAAAAGGGGGTAAAAAGGTTCTCTAGAACTAATTTAGTTCCTAGGAGTTTTTGG